CTTCTCCCTCTCCCACTCCCCCTGCTTGTGTTCCCTCTCTCGCTGTCTCTCTCTGTCAAATAAATAAATAAAATCTTTAAAAAGAAAGATCATGTGGGAAGGGGAGCCTGGCTGGCTAAGTCGGTGGAGCACACGACTCTTGATTTTGGGGGTTGTGAGTTCGAGCCCCATGTTAGCTATAGAGATTACTTAAAAAAATAAAATCTTTAGAGGCACCAGGGTGGCTCAGTCGGTTAAGCGTCTGACTCTCGATTTTGGCTCAGGTCATGATCTCAGGGTTGTGAGATCGAGCTCCCATCAGCTCCGAGTCTGCTGGAGATTCTCTCTCTCCCTCTCCTGCCCCCCTTCTCAAAAAATAAATTAATAAAATCTTAAAAATAAATAAAATCTTTTTAAAAAAATCATGTGGGGGGAAAAAAGAGCATGTGGAAATAGGGACTTCCTGTTGGTGGAATCTGACTTGGTTGCAATCTTTCTTTCTGAGGAGATTGTTCAGAAATATGTATTTATTTTTAAAATGAACATACTGTCTAACCCAGCAGTGGCACTCCAGATATTTATCCTAAGAATATAATTAGAGAAACAGCAAATAGCTATATGCATAGGTATGTGTGTATATGTGTGTGTGTGCAATACACATATATATGTAATAAACCCTTTTCTCTCTATATATAATAAACAGAAGGGTTTATTTCAGTACTGCTTATGATAACAAATAATAGGAAACAACCAAAAGTTTGTCAATAAGGGGTGGGAGTCTTTAATCATAGGACATGCATATAAGGGCAAATATGAAGTCCTAGATAGTAATATAGATTGATATTGACATGGGAAGGTGTCCATGACACGTCACTGAGTTAATAAAAGAGCACATTACAAAGTAGTATGTAAAGCGTGATCCCATTTTGGTTTGGACATTGTTTTAAAATATATATATATGCAGGGGCGCCTGGGTGCTCAGTCGTCAAGCGTCTGACTTCGGCTCAGGTCATGATCCCAGAGTCCTGGGATCGAGTCCCACATGGGGCTCCCTGCTCTGCGGGAAGCCTGCTTCTCCCTCTCCCACTCCCCCTGCTTGTGTTCCCTCTCTCGCTGTGTCTCTCTCTGTCAAATAAATGAATAAAATCTTTAAAAAAATAAATAAATAAATAATCTTTAAAAATATATATATACATGCAGAAAGAATTGTGGAAGGACTTACACCAAAATCTTAAAAGTGTGATTGGATTATGGGTGCCTTGTTTTCACTTTATTTTTCTTTATCCTTTTGAGTCTTTTGCAGTGTGTATTTGCCACCTTTACAATGCAAAGCACAATTTTAAATAGGAAGCAATAGTTTGTCATCCATACAATTCTCAATTCCAGAATACCTCCTTAGCTTATTATTTTATCACATGTATTTTAAGGTCATGAAGAAATTCCAAGGCCAGATTATAGTGTACATATTGAGCAATCAGGGAGACTCACTCACTAGTTAAGAGATTCAGTCCTGCCCACTTGCTATGTTAAATTATACAGTAGCAAAATTACGGATTATTGTCTGGTATTTGTTCATTAAGCAAATATTTTAGTGCCTATTATGAACAATAATATTGTTCTAAGTGGTGAGGCTGCTTTAGATACTACTGAGACTAAGAATATTCAGTTTTTAAGTGTCAGGGGTCTACTGTATCTCTTTTGCACATAATGTTTTACATCCACACATAATGCTGCTCACAGGAATAACTTGTAGCACCAGTCCTTCAACTTCCGTGATAAAATGGGGTTTTTTTCAGAGTATAATTGCTTTAATTTAAATTGAGTAGTTGTGCACAGCAATCCCACAGGATTCCTAAAAACCGAACTAGGGAATGAATAGCTCACTGCCTGCATTATACTCCTACCAAAGCATAACTAGTGTTTGATGAATTCTGACATTCGAGGTTTGTTTGTTGTTTTTTTTTTTATGATTTATTTATTTATTTTAGAGAGAGAGAGCACCCTGTGGGGAGGGGCAGTGGGAGAGGGAGAGAGAGAATCTCAAGAGGACTCCGCATGGAATGCAGAGCTTGATGCGCGGTTGTGAGATCACAACCTGAGCCAAAACCAAGAGTCAGATGCTTAACCAACTGCGCCACCTGTGGATCCCCAGACATTGGAGTTTTGGTTTTTTTTAAGATTTTATTTATTTATTTGACAGAGAGAGAGAGCACAAGCACGGGGAGTGGCAGGCAGAGGGAGAAGCAGACTCCCCGCTGAGCAGGGAGCCCGATGCAGGACTTGATCCCAGGACCCTGAGATCATGACCTGAGCTGAAGGCAGATGCTTAACCAACTGAGCCACCCAGGCGCCCCTCGAATTTTTAAAAACCTTTTATGTTGACATCATTTCAGATTTGCAGAAAAGTTATGAGAGTAGTACAAAGAATTCCCATATACCCTTCACCCAGATTGCCCAAATGTTCATATTTTTTGCTATGGCAAAAGAAGAGTCCGGGTCATCCTCATTCAAATTTTTAAAAACTCCTTACATGAAAATAACATTTCTACAATTAGAGATGGAAAGGACAAACCAGAGCTTACAACTGTCTTTAGTATTTTGTAGGAAGCCTTTAAAATCCTCCCTCTTTCCCCCTTCCCATAGCTCTTGCTTGTACCTAGCCTTAGGCACTTAACGCATTCTGTTAAATCTGGGATTATATTTATCTTGTTACTTTTTAAATTCTACCATTATTACTTTAGGCCCCTGCGTCCCCTCAGTGCCTAATCTTGTGCTTTTTTTTTTTTACATAGTCATTGTAAAATGATTATGTTTTAAATTAAAAAATATATATATGTGGGCGCCTGGGTGGCTCAGATGGTTAAGCGTCTGCCTTCGGCTCAGGTCATGATCCCAGCGTCCTGGGATCGAGTCCCGCATCGGGCTCCCTGCTCAGCGGGGAGCCTGCTTCTCCCTCTCCTTCTCTCTCTCTGTCTCTCATGAATAAATAAATAAAATCTTTAAAAAAAAATAAAAAATAAAAATAAAAAATATATATATGTATATACATGCACACACCATTGGACTCCTAAAGCCTGAGGTCTGTAAATCGCATTTGGTTGATCTCTACATGTTATTTGACAACTTCTGTGTTCCCCTCTTACCCTAGTTTGTGTATTGCCAAGTCTGTTGTGAGCCCTTCCACAAGTTTTGTTTAGAGGAGAACGAGCGCCCCCTGGAGGACCAGCTGGAGAACTGGTGTTGTCGCCGCTGCAAGTTCTGTCACGTTTGTGGAAGGCAGCATCAGGCCACCAAGGTATAAAACTAAGTAACAGAACTCTCGATTTCCGTTTCTGCCTTTTGGCTTAGGGTTTTGTACCTGTATTTTTCCTCTGCTGACTTAGTCTATCGTGACTATTTAATTTGGTATAATTCATTGCCCATTTTTGTGTTTTAATTTGGGGAATATAGGAGAAAACATGGCATTAGATAAAATCCCCCCAATAACGCCAGTCTACCTGATAAGAATATTCATCACTGAGTGCCTTTGGCAGGACATAAACCCCAGTGCTTTCTTTGAGAGTAAAATAATTTATGAGACAATTTAAACCGTTCTAATGATGTGCTATACTTACTTGAAGGTAAATATGAAATGGGTGCTCCAAGTGAGTCGATGTGATGCCCATCTTTTTTTTTTGATGTGATTCCCACTTCTTGCCTTTATATTTTCTTTTTTTTTATTATTAGTGTATAGCTGACATACAATATGATGTGAGTTTCAGGTGTATGACTCAGTGACTCAGCACTTCTACACATGACTCAGTGCTCACCATAAGAAGCACCGTCCCCATCCGCAGTCTCACAGACTGTTCCCTCGGCTGTACTTTCCATCTCCACGACTTAGTTATTTCATAACTGGAAGCGTGTACCTCTTCATCCCCTGCCTTTGTGTTCCCTACAGCAGCTGCTGGAGTGTAATAAGTGCCGAAACAGCTATCACCCCGAGTGCCTGGGACCAAACTACCCCACCAAGCCCACCAAGAAAAAGAAAGTTTGGGTGAGTACCCAGATGACACGGTTGCAGAGAGAACTGTCATGGAGCTCTTGGGCTCGCCCACTCTGTAACAGGAGTCCCCTTGGTCTCATTATTAGGAAGAGCCATCCCAGGAAAGAGGTCAACCTGAGGAACGGATTGCATCTGAGGTCTCTTTAAATGAGACGAGATATTAAAAATAAGAAATTCCTGTTGAATTTCTTTTCTTTTCCAGATCTGCACCAAGTGTGTTCGCTGCAAGAGCTGTGGATCCACAACTCCAGGCAAAGGGTGGGACGCACAGTGGTCTCACGATTTTTCACTGTGCCATGACTGTGCCAAACTCTTTGCTAAAGGTACTTCAGAAAAGCCAGTTTTGTCAACTTTTAGAAATTATATTTGGTGTTTACAGGGTGAACTGGACACTCCAGTGGAATGAAGTAAAATGTTTTATACATCTTGTCAAGGATTTACTAAGTTCCTGGTCTTACCCTTTCCTTTACACAGAGTATTACAGCAACTAAAATGTTTTGTTAGCTTATATGGGAAGAATTAAGGGGATTTTTGTAAAAACTAACCACAAAGAAATGCTCTAAGCCAGTATTTCCCAAAGTGAGGTACATAGATGTTTGATTGTTTCAGAAATGATTCTAGGTGGTACCGAGTCAAACATTTTAATAGTTACAATAAAAAAAGTATACCTAATACATTAAACTCATTTTACTGACTTCGGATAATAATGATACAAAGTTTACTATTGAAGTTATTTAAAGTAATCAAATCAATGTTAAATCTATTAAGTAAAGAATAATAGAGGGGGAGTGCTTGGGTGACTCAGTCAGTTGGGTAAGCGTCTGCCTTCGGCTGAGGTCATAATCTCAGGGTCCTGTGATTGAGCCTCGCATTGTGCTCCCTGCTCAGAGAGCCTGCTTCTCCCTCCCTCTGCCACTCCCCCTGCTTGTGCTCTCTCATTCTCTCTGTCAAATAAATAAATAAAATCTTAAAAAAAAAATAGAAGAAGAATAGAGGGGGTGCATGGATAAAGCAAATTGATGAAGGCTGGCCTTTGTGTTGAATTTTAGGAAGTGCTGCTCTGAGCTCTAACTTAAAGCACTAAGAATGAGGAGAAAGTGTAAATTAAATGCTTTTTTACTTCCATATCGTCGCCTCTTTTTGAAAATATAAATCCCTTTGGAAAGTATAAGAGAACGTTCTCTCCTTCTTTTCTACTGTGTTCTTTGTAAACTCTACCTCGTGACCTTTAAAAATGAGTCTAAATAAAATCAGTGGCATGTTCTAAGAGCTCAGAAAAATCTGGACACTTTATAGATGCGTGAGCATTGCATAGTAGGTCCCTGCTGGCATCTGTGAGCAGTTCCAGAAGAGAGTTGGCACGTGGAAGTCAGGGCCTGAGAGGCACCGGTGTGTGAGCCAGAGCACTGCTGAAAAGTGTGCTTTGCTTTCAGGGAACTTCTGTCCTCTCTGTGATAAGTGTTATGATGACGATGACTACGAGAGTAAGATGATGCAGTGTGGGAAGTGTGATCGCTGGGTCCATTCCAAATGTGAGAATCTTTCAGGTACAGAAGGTTGGAGTCTTTTTATTACAGTTTCCTTCTTGCTTGATGTAGTTATAGCCCCCAAAGTAATCTGTAAGCGTAAAATTATAGCCGTGTTGTTGCTTGAAGTCTTCTGGAATTTCCATTTCTGGTCTCTAGAATAAGCACCTTTGTGTCAAGTTGTGCTCATTTATCGTGAACGTATCCCTTTAAAATATTTATTTGCTGTTTTCTGTGCGTACCTTAACCTCTTGGTTCTCCAGTAACCAAATCCTGGGTGGCTAGTATTAATAGTGTCCCTTCAGAGATCAATACGTGCTGGGTTCCTGGGGGACATTAGAGTCCTGATCCTGTCCCCAGGGTCCAGCTTTGTAGTAAGTTCAGGGGAGTAGTGTCCTCCCTCTCTGCCACTCTTCAGAGCTCCTCAGCATTGTGGGGTTTTGTTTTTCTAGACGAGATGTATGAGATTCTGTCTAACCTGCCAGAAAGCGTGGCCTACACCTGTGTGAACTGCACTGAGCGGCATCCTGCAGAGTGGCGACTAGCCCTGGAAAAAGAGCTGCAGATCTCTCTGAAGCAAGTTCTGACAGCTTTGCTCAACTCTCGGACCACCAGCCACTTGCTTCGCTACCGACAGGTAGGCCTTGAGAGTTTGTTTTAAGCGGTTTTCCCCAGCGAGGGAACGTTCGTTTGCTCCATTCTTCATTTAGTTTTGTAGAGTTATTTGCTTTGGCTTTCAACTATTAAGGAAATCTTTAGGACCAAGTGTAGGACCTTCTTTGGGGGCTTTCTTTGCTGTTATAATAAGAAATTTGGACTTTATACTCTGGGGAGCGGCGGCGAAAGGCTTTACCCAAGAGTAACCCATCAGAGTTGCTTTTTAAGGGAAAAAGAAAAAGATTCTGACTAAAGAGGGAGGAAGGATTGGAGAGGACTGAGGCTAGAGGCAGGAACGGTGGTCAGGAGGCAGTTGGAGTAATCTGGGTGAGAGAGAGAGTGGTGGCCTAATCTGACAGTCCTATGGCTGTCACTGGGAAATCCCTAGGGCTCCTCAGGGCACAATTTGTAAACCACTACTTTTTGTCCATTGAAGTTGTGAACTGTACATCTAAAGAGTGGTCACTGGAAACACAATGTAAAATGTTGGAAGAACCGCACAGATAACTCGAACTGAGAGCTAGGCTGCTGCTTTTTCTCCTCATAGAGCTCCATTTTTTTTTAATAGGAAGATTTGCTATCTCTCTCTCCCTCAGAAGGAACTGGACAGTTTCTATGTCTTCATACTCCATTTGGAAGTTATCAAGCAAAGCTCTTAAGTTCACCTGGTCAAACTATTAGAGAACCGGCTCATTCTAACTTTCTTTTTGTATTATTTAAGAAATCTCTGATTATTTTCATGTTCTTTAGGTTTTATAATATGAATCATTCAGTACCATCTTTATTAATTTTAATAGAATTTGCACAGATGCCTCATTTTCAGTGTTAGATAAAAGAAGCCTATCTTTCCTGGAAACAGGCTGCCAAACCTCCAGACTTAAATCCTGAGACAGAGGAGAGTATACCTTCCCGCAGCTCCCCAGAAGGACCTGACCCACCTGTGCTTACTGAGGTCAGCAAACAGGAAGATCAACAGCCCTTAGATCTGGAAGGAGTCAAGAGGAAAATGGACCAAGGGAACTATACATCTGTGGTATGTCTCTACCTCAAACGTCAGTTTAGTGCCTTTGGGTCTTTAAGAGACAGGGCTGGGAGTAAGCACCAAGAGATGGCTTGTGTTATATTTAGAAATGTCTTGTGGGTTTAAATACCTAAGAATACATGAGTTCTTTTAGCTCCATGTTTCAGAAGATGGGAAGGTAGTGTCTCAAAATGATTTTTTTATTTGGCTGTCATCTGAGTTCTCTGAAAATTATTTTTTATTAAAACTGCTTATGGGGGCGCTTGGGTGGCTCAGTCGTTAAGCGTCTACCTTCGG